ACTGTGATTCGTCGGAACTTTGCTCTCAGATTTAAGATCCAAGCTTCTCGGGATGAAAGCTCCACAGTTTATTGACATAGAAGACTGAGTTTTGAGTTTCCTTTGAGGAATGTCCGCGATGTACGACGCTTGTCTCCATGCCGCCGCTGCTGGTACTGGCAGGCCTGCTGTAAGCCTCGGACCCAAGATGCTTCAATATACTTAGAAAGTGAACTCCAAATCATGCTTCGCCCCGAAACCCTCAACCACAGAACCCTGAACCCTGAACCACAAACAACAACTACGATTTTGGAGATCCCTGTAAGAAAAAACGAAATGCAACAGTGCCCACGAGTTTAGGGTTGATGTTTAACCTCGCAAACATTCGGCATGTCCTATGGAACCGTTCCCAAAAGCTGAGCCCAGTTTCAATGGAGCAGTCATGTCGGAAACCAAAACGATGTCTTCACAAGAAGCCCTAACTCATCTAACTCTAGGCTTTCGGGTGTGGGGGTTTAGGGTTTCGGGTTTTCGGGTTTAGGGGTTTAGGGTTAAGGGGTTTGTGATTTAGGGGCTTCGGGTTTAGTGCTTTGGGGTCTATTGAATGTAGTACCAGTATCAAGAAGACCCTAAGGAATACTATTCGTCTAGGGCTTTGGCAGTTGGTCCATTGTAATGCCACTAGAACTAGCAATTCTTCAAGCCCCTATCAGATTAAATCCTAAACCCTAAACCCTAGTCCCTCGTCAATCATCGACCTTCTCATGCCGGAGGCTCAGCAATGCCTCGAGGCGAGCACATCGGTCCTTCCGCAACAGTTTGAGGCTTCCGCGGTTTAGGGTTTAGGGTTTAGGGTTTGGCAGGGCTTCATTTACGAAGGGCGGCGGCGAGCCGTCAAGTAGCTAAAAAACTCCACCCCCAATCCTCAGTCCAAGAATTCCTAAACCCTAAACCAAAATCCCTAAACCCTAAATAAACCCTAAACCCGAAACCCTAAACCCTAAACCACAGTCACACCCTAAATCACGACATCATGGGGGGTCTTAAGTCGACGCCTACAAGGCAAAGGCTTCGCGTAGGAAGCTCGGGCTCCCTCATTGTCCGAGCTTTCGGGTTGAAGTCGTTTAGGGTTGAGGGTTTAGGGTTGAGGGTTTAGGGTTGAGGGTTTAGGGTTGAGGGTTTAGGGTTCAGGGTTGAGGGTTTAGGGTTGAGGGTTTAGGGTTGAGGGTGTGAGGTTTCGCCTTCTAGGCATCCTGAACAACAACGGGCCTAAACTGTATACAAACAAGAACCCTAAGCCCAACATCCTGGACCCCAGAAATGCTAAACTCAAAAATTTAAAACTATGGGTTGTGCGCTCTGCAGCCGAGAGAAACTGGGAATCTCTGCATACAGTAACCGGAGAATCCCCGTCAGCTTCTCGCAACTGTGTTCTACTAGGTAGCATCCCACCAAGGAAACATCCTCCCACTATCATAGAGTCATAGAGGCCAGACTACTTCATAATGATACCCCCTCTAGGCTACATCCTAAAACCTTTGCAAATTGATTATGTTCCCTAAGATTGAGTGTTCCAGCCAAAAGCTCTTAATCGCAAACACCCCCGGCGGAGGTGGTCCTGCAGAATGACCCGCCGCCACCCATCCAAAGCTCGACCTTGACAATCTCTGGCCTGCTCGCCTCAGCAATGTACCCCCTTCGGAAAATCGGGTTTAGGGCTTTAGAGTTTAGGGTTTAGGGCTTAGTTTAAAAATGCTACCCCCTCTGTGTTTCCTTCAGGTTTGGAGTCTCGGTCAGGTACTCCAGTATGTCCAGGCAAGAGAATGAAGGAGGAAGTAGTACATCTACATATGTGTATGCATCTATCGAAATGCACGCATGTATATGTATAGTGGGTATATATATATATATGTGTGTGTATATATACATATGCATGTATGTATGTATGTATGTATGTATGGATGGATGGATGGATGTATGGGTGTATGGATGAATGGATGTATGGATGTCTGGATGTATGGATGTATGTATGTATGTATGTATGCATGTTTAGGGGGCACCTCACAAGAAGATTTCGCTTCGCATGCCTCTCCCATCCAAACACCAATCCGCAAAACCGAGATCCGTCTCCCGAGCCCCTAAGCCACGAACCCCAAACCGACACCGAAACCCTAAATCCAAACCGTTATAAGCCCTAGTCAGCCCTACTATCGAACCTAAGCCGAACAAAGGAGCCTTGTAAACCCTTAAGGTTCTTATTCCCTGCTTGGTGCATGGCCCAATGCCGCGGTAAACAGCAACTTGCCTGGGGTCGGCTCAGTTTCTCTTCAGAGGGTTGCTGTCGGGTTTGGGGTGTTGGGATTAGGTTTTCCCCGTTGGCTCTGTAGTAGCTCCTTTTTGTGTTTCATATTTGGGATCGTATAAGGTAGTCCCAAAAAGGAACTACTCTGGAGGCTATGGGTATGCCTCATAAGCCCTGAACCCTTAGCCTTAGGGGTTTGAGGCAGGGCTTAGGGGTTGCTTGAAACCCGGACCCTAATCTCCTGCATCCTTGAAGCTCCTATGACTCTACGATGCAGCTGCATTGTTGTTGCTTTGTTCTTGCCCAAAAGGGTCGGAAGCACCGATATAGTAGAACGTAGGGCTTCTATGAACTTCTATGGTAGGAATCACCCTTATGATTTGGAAAGTATGCCCCGCAACTGCACCTTAGGCCCGTTAAGTTGGTGAGGTCAAGATAAACGAACCCTCAAAGGACCCTGTAGAACACCCTCTGCAGAATCCGTAAGGAAAAAAAGCCCATACTGCAGGCCCTCTAAACTTTAGCAGACCCCCATTATAGAACCCTTAAGCGGTTTAGGGTTTGGGGTTCAGGGGGCTTGAGGGCTTAGGGCTGAGGGGTTTAGCATTTAGGGTCCCCCATCCAAATTTTCGGCAGTAAGGGATTAGGCTGCACCTGTTTACGCTTCTAAGGGTTGCACATAAAAAGGCTCTAAAACCTTTTGGAGGTGTCTATAAGGGCATAAACCCTAACCCGATAGGTTTAGAGTTTAGGGTTTAGGGTTTATTTATTTAGGGTTTAGGGTTTGGTTTTTAGGCTTTAGGGTTTAGAGATGTAGGGATGTAGGGTAGAAAATGGACATCTTCGATGCTGCAGCTCCAAGGCCAAATCCTCTCGTCGGGAGGGGTCGGCAACACCGATGTTCAATACGGCTGATGATATAAATCCTGCAATACCTTTAAGGACCCTAAACTAATGGGAACTATGGTATATTCCTTATTCTGGGTAATGCAGGATTTACATCATCAACCGTAGGGTAAAAAGGGACGAAGAGAGCAGACTGTGCCGAACATGTTGGTGGTGATGCATCTGCAACCAGGATCTCCGGCTCACGCCAAGGTTTAGGGTTTAGGGCTCCGCTCAGGAAGAGGATGGAAGAAGATGGCAAACGGTGATGTGGTAGTGAGGAGACTGACGATGGCGACGGTGATGTCGTTGTTGATGGTGACGTCGTAAACCTGACAAATGGAAGGCTGTCCTACAACTGCTCACGGTCTTCTGACCACTTTCCCTGTGACGCCCTGGACCTAGACTATTTTCCGTTCGACGCCCGTGACATAGAAATCGGGTTGCAATTCTGCTCCTACAGGGACTTGCGCAACCGCCCATTGTTTTAAGCTTAGTTATATAGTCTTCACGAGAAAGGGGTTGTCGGGGCTTGAGGATCTATAGCGAGCCTGAATTTCAATGAGCTTCCCCCGACACCTAAAGCCCTAAACTGACCCTAAACTCTAGTCTACCCATTGGCTCCATAGTAGTTCCTTTTTTGGCTCATATTGGGGATCCTATAAGGTAATCCCAAAAAGCAACTACTATGGAGCCTATGGGTAATTGCTAGGGATGCTGCGACTTTCCCGCACGGCCAATGCGTCGTCGGGGAAATCCGTTTGCCTGGGCTGGAGGTTCCTGTAAAGGTTCCGATAAGGGCTCCTGGAAGGGTTCCTCCAAAAACGGGCTGCTCAGCCTCTGAAGCCTAAACCCTAAACCCTACCCATAGTTTCTTTTTGGGATTACTTTGTAGGATCCCAAATATGAGCCACAAAAAGGAGCTATACTATGGAGCCCATGGGTAAACTCCTGTAAGGTTTCCTATAACGGTTCCTATGACTCGTCCTAATTAGGGGTCCTTGAAGGGTTCCTAGAACAGGGAGGCCAGCGCTTCCCGATTCGGCACCTAGGCCTTAACACTTAGAATGAGGGCTTGGGCTTCTTTATAGTATAATCATAATAGGCAATCCTAGGGAATAATGTAGGCAATTATTCAGGACCCCATATTAGGCTGTCTGCAGGGCCATAAGGGCTTTCTACGCACAAGGGTTCTTTGGACTGTTCATGTCGATCGTGAGGGGAATTTGGGGGACTTCAACCAGTGGTCCTGGCTTGATACTTCCTGAATAGTTTCCTAAGGGTTGAGTTATCGAGGCTTCTATCGTGTACTGCGGTGGATGAGATATATATATATATATATATTCTGCATTATATACTCATAAGAAGGAATATACCATAACTCCCATAGTTTGGGGTCCTTTAAGGTAATGCAGGATATACCTGGACCCTCGTGGGGGCAAAAAAAAGGCGTTTAGTGAAACAACCAATAATTCAGGCGTTGTAAGAAATAAAAGGCGCTGCGTAGAAAAAAAGTAGTTGGGTCTGTTCCGGGTTTAGGGGAAGGTAGAGTGTGATCTGTGTTTGGGCAAACGTACTGTGGCTACTTTTGGCTTCAGAAGGGATGTCGTGTTGCATAGGCACATTTCTACGGCTTGGGGTTGCAAGCAGATACTCATAAGATTGAATCTTGAATCAAGGTCTAGGATTAGGAGTCGAGATCACTTGGAAATTAAGGGCTGGAACCAAGGCCTTGTGGAACCTGCTTTAGCTAGGAGAGCACCGAAGCCAAAACTTAGGGAATTACATTTAAGGGTTTAGGGTCTAAAGGCTATGGGGGATTACCTTTAAGGGTTTAGCCCTCAGCCCTCCCTTTCCCAGAGCAGACTGAAGTCTTTCGCATCGCCATGGACTTTGCGAACTTCTTCGGCTCCTTACGCCTGGCACTCAAATCCCTTTCTCTCTTTCGAGAAACGTCCAGCTTCAGGCCTTTCATAAATCTTGTGTAGAGGGCTTTCGACTTCATAAGACATCGTTCCAGCGCAGAGCGAGCGGCTTGCTTCTGGTGTACTCGACGAATAATTCGAGAGACTTTCCCTATCACATCCTCGTTGCTTTCGCATCCAAAAATCAATGGATTCGGAATTGTTGTAATGGCCGGATCAGACAGCCAGTCCCAAATTTCGTGAATGTCGTGGAATAGAAGGTGCATCTTCGGCTTCATCCCATAGCCTTTGAATTCCAGGTCTTGTATCACGGGTGAATTCAAACAGGCATTGGCGAGAGAGTTGTAACCTTTCAGGAATACATACCCTTCGTTTGCAAGGGCCAGCGCACATTTCCTAGACAGCCACATTCCATGCTTGTAAAGGCACTTAGCCCAAGAAGTGCCAGCCCGTGCAGTCCGATTGATTTGTTCCAAGAAAACTATGTAGTCGTTGTCTGTTGGCCGGGCCAAACAGGACCGGCTAAGATACTGTAGCCAATCGATCAGCAACATGGTGTCACTGCCCTTGGTTTTGCACCAAGGGAACGTCTTCGCACTCGAACAGTTGAAGTTATCGTTCGTGAAAGAGTGCATGGCCGGATGCTTGCCTTGCGTCGAGCAGAATAAACGGAAATGGCCAAAAGCCCGTTCCAGAAGCACCGGCCGGTTATTTGGCCCAGCAGCATCATGGAAAAAGCCAAACTTGATGATCAAGAGCACGGAGCTTCCAATAAAATCCCTGAATGTTCCAATCTTGCTGCAGTGAAAATAATCCCGCCGGAGGATTCTCTCCGGAGCATTGCGGTCGAATGGAATCTGATCGAACATAGGAGGGTCGTCACTCGACCACGGCCGCTCTGCGAACAAGCTCTGGCGCCAGGAAGGGTTGCGCCGAATATCTTCGAATGGTTGGTCGCTTGTTCCAGCACCACAAACGTGGCAAGAAGCAGCACCCGGTGCTAGATGTTTATAACATCTAGTTAGCTTGCCGATCTTGGCAAACCAAGCTAAATCTCCTTTGAGGCCAATGATAGTCCCAAACCAATACACTCCCCTTGCATATACTCCCTCGTAAAAGAGTTGTCGTAGTTCTGAAGAAATCTGTCGTATCAATAATTCAAGCAAGTCCTTATGCTTGAAGAAGACACGTGGGAGTGCGAACAGCACAAGCTTCGTCAGGAACGAATGATGTTGCAAATTGATTTCCTGGAATGCAGAAGCAGGAACTGCACCGTCCTTCTCAGCCTCGTCATTGCAAGGAGCCTCCGGGTCCAGGCCCCACTCCGAGCAACAGCGACAAGTGCTGTAGTGTCTTTTGCACTTAATGTTTTCAGCAGTGCTCAAGCCGAAGATCGCCTCGAGCATCATGATGCAAGTGTTTGTTTTCTTTAAACCCCGGCCTTCATCTCCATGCAGACAAAGCGGAATCACACGTGACGTGCATCCTGCATGTTCCCGGAACACCTCATGTGTCTTGTGTGTTTGTCCGTAGGAGGTCCAAAAGGAGTTGAGCATCTTCTGACCTTCCACAATACCCAGACCACCGAAAAGTACTTCAGGAGCTCGCTCAAGCAAATACTTTATGTAAGCCAGGGGCGAAATGTAGGGAACCTCCAGATCTTGCCCATCATCATGATAGTGGAATACACTAATGGGAACATTCCATACCAGACCCCATCGATAGATGAATGATCGGGCATTCCTGGATGCATTTGCTTCGCTCCCTGGTGGAACAGCCCGGCCAAGGCCCGAATCAGACGATGCTGCTGCACCTGTGAGGCTCGACAAAGTAGTAGCCGGTACCTTAGGACATCATCTTGGGCTATGGGGTTTCGAGTGAGATCTGGACGGGCAACACGTTCGAGTTTGGGGTAGGGGTACTAAAGTTAGCTGAAGGTACAAAGGGAATCGGGATTCTCCAAATTGCAGTGACTGCACAGCTTACAGGACGAGGTGCACAGTCAGCATAGGCTTCAGCAAAAGCTTCGGCGACTTTGTCTGGTTCAGTCGATTCAGGACCTGGCAAGAAGGAGGTTGCTTATATAGTTGCGGGAACCATTATCTCGAGCAGCACTACAATCAATCAGCGTGATTACACCTAATTCGCTCTAAGACAGACATTTCTTGCACCACGGTCCTCGCTTTTTCTTGCGACAAGATTCCCGCAAGTCAGCTGCCCCGGATGGCGCTTTGCAAGCTCAAAGATCTTTCGGCTCCGAGCACTCAAACCTAAATCCAAAATTTAGGGCTTGCCACAGAAACTTCCCAAAGCTTCAAGGGCAGCCCCTGAGCGAATCACTTCGAAGTGATCACGAGCCACGCTTTCGCTTGCCGGAGCCCTTGCCACCGCCAGGTTTCCCTTTGGGGGAGCACTTCTCTTCCTTCACCTTCGCCGGCCTGGCTTTGACTTTGGGCTTCAGGTTCTTTCCGGTCTTTTCCTTCGGAGCTGCTTCGCGCTTCTCCTTGGGGAGGAAGGGCCTTCCAGGATATATCACAATTATGGAACAATGTTGTGCTGACGTTGCATGTGCTGACGTTGCATAACTGCTAGCCTGGCACGTGTCTCCAAAGACAGCGATGTGGTAGCCCTGAGACCACGATAGCTCAATCGAGTTAAGAACTCTAGCTGAAAACATGCAAGCCCGGAACATCTGACTACATAAGGTGCTGGCACTGCAACAAGTTCATCGATGCTCTGAATGAGCAGCGCTTCTTGCCTCTGATGCCACGGTCTGCGGCTACTTGACAAGGATTAGGTTGGGGGAATTGAGCTGAGATTCTTCTTCGTAAGCCCTTTCACCACCTTCCCCGCGTAAGCATCACTGAGCTCTGCGACGCCATCGGTGAGCTTCTCGTTCAGCTCCTTGCACTGCTTCAGGAACCTAAGCTTGTGTGTCAAGAAATAAATTGATCCGGGTGTATAGGAGACTTAAGGCTGTAGGGCCAAGTGTCTTTATGCAGGTTACGTGGGTATCGGGTTTGGGGTTCCAGACATGACTGCATGGCCGGAATCACACAGCAACCACACATCCTGTCGATACTGAACAACGATCGTGTAGACCAGCAGCCGCACGACTGATGTAAGACGGCTATCTTAGTGAGCAAAGCCACCCCTTTTGGATCTTGCTGGGCTTCGGCTCCGACTCCAAGCGCTCAGACAACTTCTCCATCTGCTGGGTCCGCCTGCCCAAAGCTTGCCTGGGCTGTTGGGAGTAAGGGTTTCAGGATCAGGGTTTAGGGTTTAGGGTTACGGCTTTGATAGTCTTAGACGCAGTCCTTCTAGCATCATAGATCACGGGAGAAAAGTACGATTCTCCACGATGTCTTTAATGCAGCTGCACCACCAGACCAATCAGAAACCATGATTCACCCTGATCCATAATTAGTCAGTTTAAGACACCCGAACCACAGAAACTAAATGTTTAGGTCTAGTAGCAGAATCTTCGGGAGGCTGGACAAGAGGGACGCATTGGGGTCATACTCCGGAATCCCAAGCTTCTTCCTAGCCTCTTGAGCAAATTCGTCTTCCTCGGCTTCGTCGGCGCCTTCGGCACCTGGTGTTAGCTAGCCAAAAACCTTATGATAGCTTAGGGCTTGGGTTAAGTCAGAGTTTAAAGTTGGGGGCTTACAATCGGTCTGCTACATCTGGGTTCTGAGCCCACTTCAGCTATGTTAGCTTTGATTTAGAACCAAGAAGTAGATGTGCATCAATACCTTTTGCCAAAATCCTATAGCCCGCCCCAACCCCTAGCCACAACTCTGGAACAAAGACTCTTATCGCATCAAGCAACTGGTTCATCACCCCCCCCACCCAAACACAACAAACAACAAACAACTCAACCCTAAACCCTAAACCCTAAAGATGCAGGAGAAGGGTTTCGAACTTCGAGTGTTTGAGGAATTGGGTTTGTGGCAGTGATTTATTTTTGTGGCTTCAGTATGATGACTTCAAGGGGCTGGACTTAAACTATTCAGGCGACCCGGGCTTTGGGGTTTACGGATGGTAAATGATGGAGTAGGGCGGCCTGCAGCCACATCCCCCAGCGCCGAGGGGTCATCCATATCCAAGCCTTTGAGGCCCTGCTCGGCTTTGTCATCGTCAACGAGGACTTCTTCCTAAGTTCTTTAGCTTATTGGGGAATACCGTGGGTATGTAAGTTTAACTCAGTTTAACATAGAGAAACCCTGCTTTGCTACTAATAGGGTTCCGCATGGTGCCCTTGATGTTCCGCTCCACATAGTAGAGCATTATCTTTTCGTAGCGGTCCCTCCTGGCGTTGGTTGTTTGGGTTTGGTAGGGCAGCATGAGTTAACCCATCAGTAGTCCTCATCAACTCCGAGGGGTTCGTGCGGCAATGGGCCTTGATGGCATCGATCCTTTGCCTCGCTTAGAGGATGCTGCAAGCCCCTGAACACGAAAGCGTAGCGGACACTCACCCTTGCATTAATTGCAGATAGACAGCTCAGTGAACCCCCGGGATCTCATGGTTTCACTGCTTGCATACTCACCCTCAATCACCACTTCTTTCTCCAGCATCTCTGCCCTGATCACTTCCACCTCCGAAATGAAGGTTGCCTTGGGTTGGGTCGAAAGCAGGAAGGCTGGGTTTGGTAGGATAATAATCCGTACAATATAGCCTAGCAGCGGGGTCGTACCCCACTTGGAGGAAGATCTCTTCGAGCATTTTGCGACGCGTTCCACGACCGCTCCACTCTTTCCAAATTTCATCCGAAACTTTGAGCGTCCCGTTCGCTCGTGGGCGAAAGATGCGCTGCGAGCGCATCCGAATTGCTTGTTCGCTCAGCTGAGCTTTGCCGAGGGTCGGCTTCGGCGCGTTCACGTCATGCAGGTCCGGCACGGAGGGCATGACATGCTCGTCCGTCAAAGCCGGCTTGGTTTTCGGAGTCTTCGGAGAGTTCCGAGCAGGCTTTGCAAGTTTGGAAATCTTCATGGGCGTGGGGCTCATAGGCAGCTTCTTGTTCGGGCTGTGCTTTGGGGCTTCGTTGATATTCTGGGTCTGGCTTGCAAGGTCAACGAGCTCCGGTTCAAGCATGCTTGGAGTTGCTTTGCCGACGAAGGGTGTTGTCGGCTCTGGTTCCGGGGCCTTGCTGGGGCGGCTGGGGGTGAGGTCTTTGGAAGGCGGCTCTGCTGCGGCAGGGGCTGCTTGACCCTTTTTCACCGTAGGTGCTGGAGAATCCAACATGGTTTCATCACCCGTAGAATCATGCAGCACTGGCGACAAGGAGCCAGGTGGCGCCTCCTCTGTGTCTATGCCTTCCAAGGCCTGGGATTTGGGCTTTCGATAGCGGATTAAAATAGGTTTTGGTTGAGGCCTAAGGGTTTAAGCTTGGGATTAAGGGTTGTTTTAAGGGTTATAGGTTTTCTATTTGAATCAAGACTTGGGGCTTGGAGGTGCTGATGGAGCTCCTCATCCGACAACTTGGCTAAATCCATCATTTTCTCTTGGTTCTGGGACACAGCCAGCAAACCGGCTTGGAGGGTAGAGCTCGACCAGGTTCTAGAAGGACGGGACACCGGCCCCGGCTTGGACATAGACGTGTCTCTGAGGTTCACGGAACTTAGGCAAGCGACCCCCCCTCGATTCAACAGCAAATCCCTGGAAAGCAACCTTTCATGTACTATGTAGCACTACTACACGAAATTGGATTTGCTAGTAAGACCATGAAAGCAACCCTTCTTCTAACTGGCCAGCAAAAGCGTCTTGAGACACCGAGGCGCAGCATAGATCACATTGGCTTGTTGCAACAAACAGCAGTTGCGACATGTCTCTTGTATGATAAAAGGATAACATCGGCACTGAAGATGCATACTGTCCAAGGCCTTTTGATGCATGGCATGCAGCAGGTGCTTGCACAAGCAGAGGTTGTTTGAAATCGGTCGCCCGGTCTGTGCATGGGCTACCACAAACACAGCATGTGCTCCTTGTGGCAGATTCCCGGACCCACTTGACAGTTAAAAGTAGGTAAGCTCTAAGTATGGACCCTACTTTGCCACATGGGGAAAACCAAAAATAGCCCAAAAAGGCGATAACGGCAAATAACGCCTTTTGAACGCGGAATAACGCCTTTTGAACGCCTAATAACGCCGTCGCCCGAAACCACTTAAGCACACTTTCGGCTGTCTGAACTGCAAAATCCCGTGAAAAACGCTTCTAAGCATCTATTTGTTCTACTGGTACGCAATCTGCCGTTTCGCCCTGGCATACAACTCACGGTTCCCTGCCTCAATTCTCAGATGCTTCGAACCCAGAACATACCTGAGAGGCTCGAAGACGGCTGCATCCTCCCAGCTGCTCCATTGGGCAGCAAGCATCATCTGCACCACGGGCGTCTGCATATCCACCTGGATGCAAGGAGGAAGGGTTCTGGTTATAGTGGTTTCGGGATTACAGAGTTTAGGGTTTAGGGGTTTCCGGGTTTAGGGCTTTGGGGGTTATAGGTGTTTGGGAGATATATATAGGGGTTTGGGGGTTATAGGGGTTTGGGGGTTATAGGGGTTTGGGGGAGTATAAGGGCTTGGGGGTTATAGGGGTTGGGGGGTTATAGGGGTTTGGGGGTTATAGGGGCTTGGGGGTTATAGGGGCTAGGGGGTTATAGGGGTTTGGGGGTTATATCGGGCACCGACCGAAGCTTGGCCACAAGATTGAGTTTCCTGGATTTAGGAAATTTAGGAATCCAGGGGGACTCGGAGCAAGAGTGGACTGAAGCCCCAGACCTAGGCAACCCCAAGAACCCAAGCGAGCACAAGCAAACCCCAAGAACCCAAGGGAGCACAACCTACCCCCCCCCCCCCCAAACCCTAAACCCTACGCCCTAAACCCTAAACCCCCGCAACAGCCAAGGTTAACCGATGCGGCCTCCGCCGTGAACTGGCTGCGCTTTGCAAAGGCCTTCGGGAGGAGCCGCAGCAGAGCCTTGACGAAGAGCGTGGGGTAGGTCCTGGGGCAAGGGGTTTTGGTCGTTTGCTCCGGGGGGGCTTGCCCTGTCTACAACTGATACATAGCCGAGCTTCTGGGTCATCTTAAGTTCGGGCCGGCCCTTGAACTTCATCTTGTTGTGTTTGTCACGATAACGAGTAACTGTTGCAAACCGACTCTTCTCGCTACGTCGTTGAAGTTCCCCACGATCAAGCCATCCGTAGACTCTGGAGTTGCTAATGACGGTGCTGCGCTTGTGCGTCGGTGAATCAAAGTGCTTCATCCAGAAGTTGATTCGATACACCTTGGTTGGGAACAGCTTTCTAGGGATGCTTGTGCACAATTAACTAAGGACTCGGGCCTAAGATCTTGGATTGCAAAATATTGATGTCATCGGCTACGGGTTTGTCTACAGAGTCTCCTCGCGGCTGTTCCAAGCGGCGCAGGCTTCTACGCTTTAGGGTGTAAGGTTTAGGGTTTGGGGGTTAGGTTTAGGGTTTGGGGTTCGGGTTTAGGGTTGAGGCTCTTGGCTTTCGGGTTTAGCAGAGAGGCCGGTTGGCCAGCGGCACGCTTCAAAAGTACCAGAGCCTCCCTGAACCTGGGGTAGTCAAACATCAAGCTTGACCTTGGGTTCTCCACCAAGAAAATCGCCTCCATGCAACTCAATAAAAGCAGCAAGAGCGAAGTCCTGCAAGGGGTCTGGTGCTTAATGTGTTTGGTTGAATAGACAATACCTAATCTGGAACCCAGGAAATCACAAAAAATCCTTGAACCTTAATCATTACCTCGTAATCATTGCCTCGATAGAATCGGAAAGTGCAGTGAGTCCTGGAAACCATGAGGTTCCCGGCGCGTACGCTAGGGTGCTCGGTGTTTCCAGGGGTGACGAGCGGGTCACGCTGTGTTGAGCCGCGTGAAGTTAGCACCCAAGAAGCACACACAGTCCCCAAAACAGCCAGAGCAGCTCCAAACTTGGCTTGGAGCACCAGGACACAGGCCAACCTGGGCTTAGGTGCTACGTAGCTATGCAGAGTCGGGTTATTTTGGAGTAGTTAGACACACACGCACACACACACACAACCGACCTTTATTCTAGCTGTGGCACGTGAACCCGACGTCCGAATTGATATCCATAGGCGCTGGCGAAGGACGCCAAATACTTCTGCGCTTTTTCTTGCGAGGACACAGGTTGATATCATAGGCAGCAGACTGGTACCCTAAGATCGAAGCCATCCTCGAAATTTTGCATGAGCCTGCAAAAAAATCGAGAATGTCCCACTGCCGCCTCTTGAAATCGACAAAGTCCAGGTGTGCACAGAAGTAGACCAAGACTACAAAGTCCTGAAGAACACCCAAAGTCATGCAGCATGATTGTTGGTAACTGATAACATGACAAGGTAAGTCGATGCTGGGCCAAGACTCCACTGGGGCGCCTATGGCCAAGAGCCGACGAAGGACCAGGTCGATTTGGGCAGGGTTCATGAGGAGAGCAAGAAATCTAAGTATTTGGGAAGATTGGGACCAGGGCATGCAGAGCTGCAAGCTGTACTGAGAAGACACCGCAAACCTGAACTCAGGACCTTTGGGGTTTCAGTCAGGTTTACATAAGATTGTGCCTTAGCAATTAGGGTTTGGTTGCATCATCATAGGCATCTGCTGTCTTGATCTCTGCGCTCAGAATCGGCAAGAGCATCTCAAGCACCCAGGATGGCAACTCTCGTTCATGCATGATGTGCTGTATGCTGCTTCAGAACTGAGAACAAGTGCACATCCCATGCATCAGCCTTTCGAAAGCGAGCCAGGATATCCCGGGCACGCCTTGTAGAAGCCACGGGCCGCCAAGAAGTTCATCAGACCTGCAAACAGCAGGGATCGATGAGTCAGCTGTTGCAGAAAAGAAGTGCTTGGGATCTCAGACAATCAGAAAGATTTTTTCCAACGGCTGCACATGTTAGTCCCCAGGCAACTTGGAAATCCGAAAGTCATGCCGAGTACAGGACTCGGGTTCACGATCACTCAGCAGCTTAAAGCCTCGACACTTTAGCCAGACATTCATAAGCCAATCTAGCTGTAGGGTTCGCAAGAGGTCTTAGGTCCTAGAGGTTTGAGACTGTTGTGTTCTAGGGTTTCGGGGATAGCTTATCAAAGCTGCTGCCTCGATCTATCCCAGACCTGTCTAATCGGCAACACTGACCCAATCAAAAGTCGATCTAGGTTCCTTCCCAGATCTCTTCTCAGCACCTTTGGTACTGATACAGATGACTCACTGTCTCTCAACATTGGCGCTGGCCTTGCCTTAAGGCTGAATAACAGTGAAGAGATCATCCTTAAGGTTTAGGGCTTAGGAGCTGCGGATTGTATACGGGAGGCTATAGGGTTTCGACTTGTAGGGATTCAGGATTTGCTTGATGATCTAGGATAGCTAAGTATGGGTTTTAGTTCTTAGGGATGAAAGCGCTTAAGATGGTTTAAGGCTTGTAGTGCTATAGGGCTTTAACAATTATCTTTTAGGTTTTGATAGAAACCTCATTCTCAGTCTAGTCACTGTTGAAGAACTTCGTAGCCGCCTCTCGGCAGATTCGATCGTACTTGGCTCGGGAGGGATTCTCCAGGGCCAGAAGGTCGCCGTAGACCAGATCCCAGAATGCATCCTGCCCAATTAACCTAAGCCCAACCAGTTATAACCCAAGCAAGCACACCCCCAAGACCCGCTATTCCGCTATTCTTTCTGAAAGAGGAAAACCAAGACGACATACACAATCGAAGCTACACCCTTGAAGCAAAAAGGCCTCACTCTGCGACGGGAACCTGAGCTTGGGAGCGATCGTAGTGTCGAAGGTCTCCTGCACGGACAGGAAACGCTGCCTCGCATCCTCCCCCTTGCCGATTCGGCGACCAGCGAAAGTAGTTCGCTTGCGCTTCTTCGTAGCACGATCCTCGTCGACACAATTGGCCTTGGGCTTCGACTTCGCCTTGGCAACTGTCTTAGCAGCGGGGCGCTTCAGCACCGGTTCCGGAGTTGCCTCCTGTTCGGAAGCTGTGGCACCCGACACATCGTCGTCCGTGATCTCCAAAGCTCCCTCCTGAATCTTGACCCGGCCTCGGCCTCCTCGTCCGCCTCGGCCACGCCCACGGCTGCCACGACCGCGCTGAGCGGCGACTTCGTTGGCAGCTCTGCTGCCGGATGCCTTTTTGCAAAGGACAGTGTCCTCATCCGAATCCTCCGCGGCATCCACCTCCACAGCCTTGGCCTTGCCCTTGGCTTTGGCTTTTGCTTTGGCTTTTGCTTTGGCCTTCGATTTCGGAACGCTTGTCGAGGCCTTCTCGGCCCTTCCCTTGGCCTTGGCTTTTGCCTTCGGCCTTCCACCCTTGGGCTTCTTCCCGCCCTTCGGCGAGCCGCCGGCATCATCCTTCAAGTCCCCAGCACCTGCACGCTGGGTCTCGCGAAGCACCAAGGCTGGCTCTCCGGGGAGACTGTCTCGGCCTTGCAGTGCCCCATCAAGAAGCCAGGTTCACCCAAACCCGAAGAAACCAAATACTAAGGCCTTATTACAACTCTATTTCGTTAACAACTAGCCTGGGAAGGCTTTGGTGACTCCTTCTCTTCTTCCGGTTTCTTGAAGGGAGTCTCGGCCGGGGCATAAGAAGGGCTACCAATCCACGCACCATTCGTTTCATCCAGAGACTTGGGGCTGGATGCAACGGAAGATGCAGAGTCAGAGCGGGCAAGACCATCCCAGCCCTGGGTCTCGACGTTGTCAGTACCTCAGCATGATTGCAGAATTTGGAAACATTCCAACCAAACCGAAGTCTTAACTACTATATTAAATTCTAGAAACGTATCATGTGAGTCGAATTGCACACTGCAGCTTTCGGTGGCTCACTGGTGCGTGCTGCTTGCCGTCGGGCCAGCTCTGCCCTATCAGGGAGTGTAATCAAAAGCCTTCCGAAACATACCAAGATACCAGACGATTCTACTTCCAACTCCTAACTAACTAATACTCCAGAATCTGCCTCAACCGCTGCCGCATAATCTCTCGAGCTGCAGCCACATCCGAGTTTGGGCTGGGCTCCTCTTGGAAAAGCTTCTTGGGTGTGCACACATGCTGCCGACGAGTCAGAGCAGGAACAGGGTCTGCAGATGCCGTCGGAGCTGTTGCTGCCATCGAGAGAGGTTTCGGGGGCGTGCTCGGAGCTTTCGGGGGCGTCGTCGGAGCTTTCGGCGGCGTTGTCGCCTCCAAGCTCTCAGCGGAGCTTGCCTTCACTACCTGAGCATCTTCATGAATTTCCAGCTGCGGCGATTTGGGCAACAACGCCCTTGCCTTCTCGAGATAAGGATCCGACGGCTCAACCATCGGATCATCCGCCTCCACAGCCTCTTCCTCACCCTCCTCCATACCAAGATGATCATCGGCAGGCTCCGGCCCCTCAGCGTCATCGTCGTCCGGAACCTCCACAAGTCCATCCTCGATGGCCAGCAACTCACTCTCGCCCAAGCCACCTTCCGGAATAACCCATGCAATCTTGAGGATGTTGTAGAACTCATCCAAGCAACGATCCTCGAAAAGAGAAGCCTTTATAGAATCAAGCCCTGAAAGATACAGAACAACAAATAACAACTTCCGCACCACCATATAAAAACTCGGGATTCCCTGTTGGCGGAGCCGGAAGCGAACCTTCTGAGGCCGTGCGAGAAAAGGACCTTCAGCCCTGCAGCATCCATGTGCACCTTTATGCGATCCTCCGACAGGCCGAGGCTGTTGCGAAGAATGCTCACCTTATTATCAGGAACCAAGGATCGGCCCCAAAACTTCTTAGTTTGAAACAAACCTGGAAGCCAAATGCTATACTCTGTACCCTGTGTGAGTTGCTTCCTCGCGCATTCGATCGATTTGAACGGTCTTGGGATACTCACATCGTTCCACCCACCATCGCGCAACGACCTCTAGAGCACAGTGGTTAAGCCGCATTGCCGCCACCGATGGGACTCCCACCGCCCGCTCGTTGACCCACCTCGTGAGAACTTGCTCCGGTTTTTCCAGCACCCGCCGGCGCAGGACCTCGCACTCCTCTATCATTTTTGCCAAAGCACCAGGAGCCTCGCTGGCATCCATGATCCCTGAAGCGCTATGCGATCGATCTACCGACCTACTCAAAACTCAAAGAGGCTGCCAATGCAAGACACAGTGGTGATATCTGCACGGAGACTCTGCTGATTCTAAGCACTGCTGCTGGAACCGCAGGATGAGTTCAATCCTAATGCAACCACCTAACCTAGCCTAAACCTCCCTCCACTTCAGGCTTCGGAGCAGGCCTTGTCATTGTAGTAGAGTCTCCACCAACATAGGCCGCCCCAGAAGTACCTAGAAACAGCACACAGTGCAAGGGTTCAGGATCTTATGACAATCCATGACATTTGCTCTTAGACTTACGATGGACAACCTTCGAAATTTCCGAATGGGAGGGGGGCGCACAAAGCCCGTGATCCAAGCGGCGCAAGCCATGGCATGACACGTGTTGTGTGTTCGTATGAGCATGCGAAAGCAAGTGTAGCATATGGATTGCCTCAAACCCTCTTGCAATGGAGACATGATCATGATCTCTCTGGATTGAATGCTGCTGAACGCAGATATGTTGTGAGTTCTCTGTCATGTTGGACTCACGAAACACACAACAGACAACTTGAACGCAAAACCATCCCAATCTCAAGAAAAGGCGACAAGCAAAACAAACTATGCCTACTATTCAAAACCGCTTTTTCCCAGAACTACTTAAATTAAAGGCGTCAGGATTCTCCAGGTATATATATATATCATCAACAGGAAAAAAGGGTACATGGACCCATAGTTTTAGTCGGGCTTTTGCTTACAGTCAGGCTGCACGCAACTCTCCGTCGGCAAGGACAGCTGGAGCCTTGGTTTCGTCTGCTTGCTCTATCGATTCGGCTAGAGGTCTTCGGATTCAGGGTTTGGGTCTAGGGTTTGATGTAGAATCGGAGGGTTGAAAGTGTGTTGATTTCGGGTTCAGGGGCCTGAAGCCTACCTAGAGTCTCTATTGCGGTTCCTATTTTGGCAAGTTGTGAATAGTCGTAAGTTGTTAGGATTCCTGATTCTAACTCGATGTCCGAGTGCTTGCTGGGCTTAGCGATGTTCTGCTGAAGCAACTACAGGCTTTGTTTCTTCTCAACTTTTCCTGGAAATTGCATGGTGCCTGTAAAGTAAAGCCTTCTCCTCTGGCATGAAAAGACTCTTAATCAGCACACGCAGAAGTTGGTCCATGCCACAAAGGTCAGGGCTAAGCGGTTTACAATAATTAGAACCCATTTCAATCTAACAATGTAGCCGCCTAACCCAAGCGAGCGGTTGGCACCATGTAGTGGTGGACGTTACAGGCACAAGTCCCTCTGCCTGTGGGAAGTCATACCCACAGTTTCAATTGACAGGAGAATTCGACAGAACGATGGAATCAACTGCTTACACGCTTGTAAAATCATGCTTCAGTTGGATGCTTTGTACCCCCTTGGCTGGAACTCTCAAAAAATCACTCTCAGCGCCCAAAGTCCAACCCGAAAAACACTGACCTCTATCTTCGCTGCTGCCTAGCGACACTTCAGCCGCCCCGAGGATGGTAGGCGCGTCCTGTTCCACAACGATTTCGTCGGACCCGAAACCACCATAATCACTGCTGCAAAGCAAAAAGCATTGACGGCAAGAACAAGGTTGCTAAAAGACTGCAAAAAGGGTGTTGTAAGCTTTTATAGGATGTGGAAGGACATTGGAGTACAAGGGAATTTGGAAACCTTGCAGAGCTAGAACAACAAACACCTACAGTGGAGAGTAGAATCGGTCTAACAACAAGTAGTACAAAAAATCCGGCAGACCCTGAAAAGAAACCTGTGAACCCCTCGAACTTTCAATCCTGCTTCCAAGCCTCCGCTGCGAGAGACTCTCCGAGAGACTCTCTGGGCTGTGAGGCCACACTGCGGGCCTGAACTTGCTTGTTGTCAGGTACCTTTAGCCCTAGCCCTCCAGGTTCCTACTATGTAGGGCCCTAGGGGCTCTAGTAGCCTATTTTGTAGGTACCTGGGGGGGGTTTGGGGTTAGGGGCTCTGGGTTTAGGATTCAAGGATTTAGGGGCTGGGATTGAACATAAGATTTGTCAATTATCAAGTTCCTTGCGGGGTTGAGAGGGTTTACTGCTTACGCAGTGGGGTTTAGGACTATAGCCATAGGAGTAAACGAAGGAATCCTGTATCAAAGGGTTCTGCACGGCATTGCGTAGGTTTCCGGACTTTGTTGTTTCAGGGCTCCTGTAATGATTTTTCCTGCCATGGACTTCGGGTTAGGGCCCGTCGTCGTAGTTATGTTGCTGCTGCTTGCTCCTATGTTCATCTGTCATGTTATACCGTTCTTGCGATTAGTATTCAGAACGTCGGAAGCAAATGCACGCTTATGATTTAGGAACCAGGACACTCCTTCTTCGACTTTACTACAATTGAAACTTTGACGTACGGGTATACAATCAATGCAGTCATGCAGAGGCCTTAATTTTTGGAATGCCCGGGGCAACTACTACTTTTGAGACACCAGTATCGCTGCGATTTGCCTTGCTCAGTCCTCTCTTTCGCTTCGGGGGTGGTGCTTGTGGCTATGTGAGGAGACAAGGGCTTGGCATCGTAAAGTGGGTTCCTGAAGATCTCAGGGACAGGGACTAAAATCTGTAAGTAAGGCCATTCTGAAACCCCTTACAATCTGAACCCCCCCCACAAAGAACACCACAAACGCCGCCACCACCACCCTCATCTTACAGAAAATAGCCATAGTGAGTATCAGCGTCATCATAAAGAACACCTCTGTAATTAGCATCACCACCGTCATCATAAACCACAATAGGCAATTCTTAGCATCACCATCATCAGTACAAAGAACAATAGCCATAATGAGTATCAGTGTGATTGCAAAAAGCCTGAGTGTCCAAGCGCGAAGATAATAGTAGGGTTTTAGCTCCCAAATTCTATATGCTGAATGGCTGTCGGTGTCCAAAAAGCCCTACTATTCTTTTGTAGTCGGACCCTCTGGCACAGCAACTATATGGACCCTTATAAACCCCCAAAACCCTAAAAACCGTGTAACTATATCAATCGAACGTTTCCTAGGCCCCCGGGCCGTGGAGAGTCGCCTCCGAGCCCTCTCGTCGGCCTCGTAGTCTTAGCGGGTTAGGGCTTAGGGCTTAGGGCTTAGGGTTTAGGGCCCAGGGTTTAGGGTTTAGGGTTGAGGGTTTAGGGTTTAGGGTCAGGGTTTAGGGCGGGGAATGATGGATAAGACACCGAAGGCTACGAAGGGCCTATGTGGGGGCTACTTACCCAAGCCGTTATACGAATTCCTACTATAGAAACTCTGTCTGTTTCTGCTATATGGCTTATATAGGTACTTAGGACCCTCTCAACACTTATATACATAAATACATACGTAAACACATATTTACATCCATACTCACACATACCGACCCACCTACCTGCCTACGTCAGAACGTAATTAAGTATGTATATATATATATATATATATCCATATATATATATATATACATACACACACAAACACATACATACATACTACCTACATACTTTAAAAAATACAGACATGTATACATGTTAATGTAGTATTTATGTGAAAATAGAAGAAGAGAGATACTGTCCAGTGTGACTTGGGAATCCTAACATTACAGGGTGTATAGAAACCCTAAACCCTAAACCCTAAACCCTAACAAATTACAGGGTTTATGGTTTCAAGGTTTTAATGTTTAGTTTTCGTTGGGCAGTAACTTTCAGGGTTGTTTAGGGTAGTATTGCTTAAAGGGCAATACGTCTATACAGTTCCAGCGTTCATTAACGGCTCCTTGATATCGCTTTCTATATGGGGTGTTAAGAACCAGAATTTGATATATGGACCGATATATGATATATGGGCTAACCTCGTGATTTGTTAGGGGCTTCATACAGAAATACAACCCTGCTAGATGCACTGCCGAACATCCTATGCATGGGCAGCCACCCGCCGACCACTGTCACAGGATCACCTGTCCGTTGTGAACGATGAGCTCGGAGTTCCGCTCAAGAAGCTGTGAGAGGAGAGCTCCACTTCTCACTGCCCTAAACCCTAAACTCAAAGCCCTGAACCCTAAACCCTAAACCCAAAGCCAAAGACCGACACATGCAGGGCCGGGGCATTTTCCCTCTGCCCTAAACCCTAAGCCCTAAGCCCTAAACCCTAAGCCCTAAGCCCTAAGCCCTAAACCAAGGAAAGGCTCGGGATCCTTCCATCTGCCGGACCGATGATACCTCTAAAAACCCGCAGCCCTAAAGACCCACACATGCAGGGCCGGGGGCTAGTAAGCTTACCAACTTCGGGGCTGAAGAAGGACACTAGGGCTTGCGGGAATCTCAAAACGCGTCTAAGATACCCATAGGCTCCTTAGTAGTTCCTTCTTGGGATTACCTTATAGGATTCTAAATATAAACCACCAAAAGGAACGGACCGGAAAGCGCTCGGGTAGGGACCCTGCAGACACCTAATCGCACCGTTTGGAAACCCTTCGGAGCCCGACAACCTCTGCTTTAATATAAATGCTAGAGCCCTAAACCCCACACCCATGAGGGCTTCAAAAAACCCTCTAGGACACCTGGTAACTACGACCCGTGCAGGACCCTTGGAAAAGCAAACAGAACCCCCTAAACCCCAACATAAACTCCTAACCCCTTAAACCCTAACCCCCCGAACCTTAATCCCCAAGCCCCTAAACCCCTAATCCCAAAATCCCTAAACCCCCAAACCCCAAAACCCTCCAAACCCCTAAACCCCTACATCCCTACTCCCTAAACCCCTAAACCCCTAAACCCTCAATCCAAAAACCCCAAAACCCGTGAACCCCTATAAACCCCTACACCCTCCAAATCCCCCAAAACCTCCTCGAGCCGTCTCTCGATGGCCGCGGCGGTGTTCGGCCGCGATCCGTCGAACCCTCGGGCTTCATACTGTTGATGAAATAAATTCTGCATTACCTTATTTGGAAACCCTTAGGGTTTACGGGTTAAGGTTTAGGGGTTTAGGGTTTAGAG